GACTCCTATTAGGTCATCAAGAAATTAATGTCACGTTTTGGGTCACTCTCATTAACCAACCCCCCAAAAAAACTTACATCACATATAATGGTTAAATGAATCGCCTAAACATCACATTAGCGTAACCTATATAATGTGTAAAGTTTAGTATACTATAATCCCTTATAGTGATGGCACACAATGAGACACACATTCAGAATGTAATACTGTTTGAATACAAGAAGAGAAACAATGCCTCTGTAGCCACAAAGAATATCAAAGAACTTTATGGAAATGTTTTGAACGTTCGTAAGTGTCAACGGCATAAAGCGCATGAACCATTTTTGGACAGAATTATCACCGATGATGAAAAATAGATTCTCTATGTGAATATTAAACACCAAAAACAATGGCTCAGTCCTATACAAAAACTACTTCCGACCCCAAAACCTGGACTCTAGCTGCAGAAAGTGATGCTTAGCATTTGGTGGGGCAACAAAGGAGTAATTCATTTCAAACTCCTTAATCCACAGTGAACTGTCAAGGCAGAGGTTTATAGTCAGCGACTGGAACATTTAATCAAGCCCTTAATCGTCAATCAGAAAGGTGTTCTTCTTCTCCAAGACAATGCACGTCCACATGTGGCCCATTTGACGCAACACAAGATTATGGAGTTTGGTTGGGAAGTTCTCACCCACCCACCATATTCTCCAGATGTGGCACCATCAGATTACCATCATTTTCATTCGCTGCAACACCATCTTAATGGGAAAACTTTTACAAATGTGGAAGGTGTTAAAGAGGACATCAGCATGTTTTTTGCTTCAAAGCCAAGTGATATTTAGCCATAATGGGCGATATCTAAAGCGAGTTTCACAGTTTAACAGAGATAAAGGAAAATAATTTGTCTTGTCAAAGGATGTTCTAGAGTAATTGAATCTGCCTGTGTGGACTTAGACAAAAAAAAGAGACAATTATTTAATGTTCTGGATACAACTATGGTATCCCACATGGTAACGCAAGTGAATTTATTGTAGATTGTATAGTAAGAAACAGAGTAGAGAAAAAATAATGCATCTTGTCAATTGGGTACTAAAGTAATTGAACTAGCATGTATGGATTTTTTACACGAAGTAAATTATTCAGTTTTAGATACAATTGTCACATCCTATAGTATAAAGCATTTTTGTACATACATTTGACAAGTGGATTGTGTGCTGTCTGTTTATTGTTGACATATTTCGTCAACAAATCACAGTCACCTATTGTAAAGAATCTGACCTATATAAAAACCTAACATTGTTTATAGTGGAAAGCACAGACAGTCTAGGACTACAGTTTGCTTGCCAGGTGCTAAAATACAGGATATTAAAAAGTTGACCATTTATTTGTTGATGCTAAAGAACATTTTGTTTTTGTAGTGCAACTAGGAACAAATGACATTCAAAATCATAAATCAAAAGAGCATCTTTAGCTGCTCAATAAGTATTATGTACTTCTTCAAAGGTATAAAGAGAGAAATAAACAAATGGCCATCTTGCAAGCACTCCCTTGGGCTAAATGCGGGTTAAACTTACTTAGTACTACTACCAAGTAAGATTACAGGGTTTTGGGTACGAGATGGGCTGGTTGGACCTGACGTAAAGATTGCAGGATCAGGGTGGATTATATGCTAGAAATAGGCTTCATTCGTGCAAGTTCGGTAAGAGGGTGTTTAAAGTAACAAGTTAATAAATATTTATAAAGAAATGTTCATGAGATTTAAATATAAACATAGTAGAATGGGCTGGTTGGACCTGACATAAAGATTGCAGGGTCAGGGTGGATTATTTGCTAGAAATAGGCTCCATTCGTGCAAGTTCGGTAAGAGCGTGTTTAAAGTAACAAGTTAATAAATATTTATAAAGAAATGTTCATGAGATCTAAATATAAACATAGGAGAATCAGTAGCTCAGCTGCTATTAAACTAATATTTGGAATATTAGGAACAACATAACTGCAAAAAAGCAAATTATGAAAAGATGCAACAAGAAGTATGTGTTGTGAACTGGCCAACAGAATTAATTGCATACATTAATAAAATATGGAACAATTGTGATAATACACTTTTAAATATTTAAAATAGACATGTTATTTATACAAAAAAAAAGAGTTGGGCTCACAAACAGTATATGGGATAAAAATAAAGAAAATTATTTAAATTGTTAGAAGTTTAACTTGGTCACTATGAAGTGAGACTTAGAGGATTATAGAAGATCAAAAGAGTTGGTAAAACAGGATATAAGGGAATTAAAAAGGATATAAAAAACAGGTTGGTTGAAAATGTAATAATTAACAATAAAGATTTCTTTAAATACATTGAGGACAAGCAAAATGTTAGGATAGTAGAGCCTTTGAGAAAGCACAAATGTTTATATTGTTTAGTACAAAGCTACACAATGGGCTATCTGTTCTCTGTAAATCATGAGGAATCAAAACCTGAATTTTAGCAATGCAAGCCTGTAAACTTGCTGCTGATCCACCAGTGGACAGAGGGATGACAAAGCGAAGCTTATTTCCAGTGATTATGACATCAGTAGGTTAATTATACTTTTATTAAATTTTTACTAATGAAGATTTAAGCAATATTCCTCATCCTGAACTGTTGCTAGACAGAAACAAGTTTGAACAAGATGATCACATTAATTCAGTGCATGTTCAGAAAAAAATTGTAAAGTTCAAAAAATTATGAGGCTCCTTGGTCAGATAATAATTCCCCAGGGTTTTGTCCGATATTAAGGACTGAGTGTGTGAGCCACTCGCTAATATTTATGTCCGTGATAATGGTCAGGTATCAGAATATTGGAAGTTGGCTAATTTACTCCTCTTTTCAAAGAAGGTAATGAAAATTGTCCCAGTAATTATAGATGTTAACCTTATATCAGTGGTGGGAAACATTTTTGAAAGTCTGATAAAAGATGCTTAGCAAAATCATTTAACAAAGGGAAAAATCTTGTCTTACTAATCTTTGAATTTTTTGTTGAAGTTACTGCTTATGTAGATGAGGGGTAAGGGTGCAAATTTGGTATATTTTGATTTTCAGAAAGCATTTGACAAGGTGCCATATAAAAGACTTATTAAAAAATGATATCTATAGGTGTTATCTTTTGCTAGTGTTAAGTCAAATAGTATTTTAGGTTGTATCTACAGAAATAGTGAATACAATTGTACAGGTCATTGATTAGGCCATGGTTGAAGCATTGTGTTCAGTATTGGGATTTTACCTTAAGATGGTCATTGTATTGTTAGAATGGGTTCAGAAGAAAAATACTAGGATGAACAGGTTACAATCTCAGAAACTGTTTTCTACAAATAAAAAAAAAAAAAAGAACTGACTAAGGTGTTTAAGATTTTTAAGGGAATTGGCAGTGCTAATGCATCATCTTTTTTCATACTTAATGGTGAGAATGGACTAGAGGATACAAGCATAAATTGTGGCAGGGTAGAAGTAATCTTCAGCTAAGACAGTTTTTATTTTTCTAACACGGTGGTTGGCGGCCTTCAGATCCGGTAGATGCAGTAAATTTAAAGGAATTTAATTCCTATGCATTTGGGTGGGTCAACATGCCTATGCCATGGCCTTTTGACCGTCACATTATAACGCTCCCATGGCTGAAATGGCGAGCATGTTTGGTGGGATGGGGATTCGAACCCGAGACCCTTAGATTGATCACCACTGAAAAGATTCATCAAGGTCCAGAAAAAGATGCGCACTCCAAAATTCATGCAGTCCACCGAATCACAGTAGGTTAGGACATTCTAAAAGGTATATTTGAAACTCCATGAATTATTATATGAACAGCCAGCATAGATCCATTTGTTTACACCTAGCTGTCCTGCTGTGTTATATATTGGGTTTCACCTACTATGAGGCAACATAAAGTACAATGTAAAACAATAAAAATAAAATAAAGCAGATGAGAAAATGTCAAAAGCCTGAGATTGTTTAGGTTAAATAACTGTAATTGTCTCTTACAATATACAGTCAGTTTTTAAAAAAGAAAGTATTTTTTTTATTTCATTTTATATTTTTCAACTTTTCATTTTACTGAGAATTGATGATACCATTACATTTACAGTTAGTGTTATTGTAAAGAAAATAATAGTTTTAATTCCCCCTAAAAAAAAACTTTCTATAATCATTTATGAGGTTCTAGAGGCTATGCCAATGAAATATGAAAACTATAATATGAAACAAAGTATTTTTTATTCTTAGTATTGTTACGTATTAGAATTTCGAATAGTCCAAAGCTGAGTTAGGTGATAATTTAAATTTAGTAGTTAAATTATACTTTCAATTTAGTATTTAAATATATGCCAATATATAGTCAGTTTATGAGATTTGGCAACAACATTGATACACACCGTTTTCGTTTTTAACACACACACGTTTTAATATACACACAACAATACAAATCACAATAACAGTTAATTACAAATCATTATTACAAACAATGATTTATAAACAAAGGTTTCATAAACTTACAAATAATATAAAGTTTTCTTTCTAATCTGGAACTTCCTTGATATCTTATCGAGGGTTTACGATGAGCAAATTAATTACGAGTTGATGTAGATACGATTCGCTGGGAAGCTAGCTAGCTTTGTCCTTTGCCACACACGCTGAGCTCTCCATGATGAATTTATATGTTTTCGTAAAAATACTAATGTCCGATGAGAAACCACTGAAGTTAAACAATTTGTAATGTTCGAAATTTATAAATATTCCTGGTCAAATATCTTAAGTTTTCCAATTGATAAGCATTATAAAAATCACAGCTATAGCTTTTGAAGGTTATAGCACACTGATTATAGCGAACTACTAATAGACACTCACTTTTGGCACGTCGCGTTAGTTCTACTTATAGGCGTGGGAACATTTTCTAGAAAATTCAGATTACGCAACAATGCAAATTAAAGCGTTTACGTACACACATATATTTTTGATACTTACTCTCGAGAATCTTCTACAACTTTGGAGAATAGGCAAAAGTTTCGCTATACATATCTAACACTATAAGATAGGCATGTTTTTAAATATACACTCAATCCAAACAAATTTTGACATTAAATAAATATAAAATAACAAATGTGTTACAGTATGAAAATTAGCTTCCATTCAAATTGTGTCAGTGAAATCTTTGTAAATTCATAGTTATAATACTTAATAAAAACTAGCCAAATTTCAGGAAGATACATTTAGTACATATAGAGTTATAGTTTCATGTTACATGGTAGTTAAAAGATAAGTTAAATTTATCAAACCTTATGCATAAAGTTAAGGGCTTGGTTTATTTTGAATTTTTGTGCAAAGCTACATGAGGGATATCTGAGACTTGAGGGAAGACAGCCAGTCATCACCACCCACCACCAACTTTTGGGCTACTCTTTTACCAATGAATAATGGGAGTGACTGTCATATTATAATACCCCCATGGCTGAAAGAGTGAGTATGTTTGGTGGGACAGGGATTTGAACTCTGGACTTGCAGATTGCAAGTCAAGAGCTCTAACCACCTGGCCATTTCAGGCCAGGGTTAAGGCTTGATAAACATTTGAATAACTTTTGACAGAGCAAGCTACATGTTTAGAGCAAAACTAAAATTCAACCTGGTAAGGATTATAACTAGCTAATTAACTATACTTTCATTACACTTGTATTTATAAAGAATGAAATGCAATGTTTTACCAACTGGGTACCCTCACTGTTCACAATAATTTTAGCTGTAATCCCAAAAGCTTAATAAGTTTGGCTTAGATTAGCACTAAATGCCATTCCATCCCTGAAATCATCCTTGTAGCCTTCCTCTGAACCCTATCCCATAAATAATATCCTTTCTTAGATCAGGAGACCAAACTGTACACTATTTCAAATAAGGCCTAACTACTGATTTTTATAAGCAGTTATACCTCTTTTGCTTGTAATCAATATGTCTACAAGTACATCCTAAAATTCCATTAGATTTGTTACTAGCAATAAAGCACTGCTTCAATGGTTCAAGTGACTAACCCACTAGGAGCCTATAGAATATGACATTCTTTGATCTTGAATCAATAAATTTAAAACATCATGTCCATTTAAAAAATTTACAGCATCCTATTCAATTTATCAAAAATGCTCACCAAAAAGCCACAAAAAACCTTTTGTAAAAGTCAAAAATAAATGAAAACAAAAACAAACACTGCTTGAACAACAGCACAAAATTTGAACCAATTTCTAATGCAAAATGATTTTCTTTATTAAAAATAACCTGATTTTAAACAAAATCATACAAGATAAATACAGGGCATCTATATTGTTCCATATTACTCATGTGAAAAAGTTTACATTGTTGAAAAAAGAAGAAATTTAAACACAATAAAAAAAGAACACAAAAGAAAAATTAAAACAGAAATAAAAAAATTGCATTTTTCCTCTATACAAAAAATTTTGATCACCCTGTGAACTGGAATTCAGCTAATATGATGTAAAATTAAAAAAAACAAAAGAAATAATTCTTGAAGCTGTTTTATTAAAACTGTACCAAATGGAAACACCTCTAAAAGTTTCCTAGCCACATGTATCCTCAACTCAAAGGAATTTTGCAATTAGGTATCACCTAAACTGTGTGGGTAATATTCTTCTCAGAAGACTGTGTACAACTGAAGAAGGCACATGAAAGTGTCAAACTAGTTTCCTAGTCTTTATGCTAATATTTTGTTTTAAAAAATTTGGTTTACTTTCTATGATCCTTTCCTTCAGTCTGCTACAAAGTTCATCCCCATCTCTATTAAACATGCAATTTAATTTTTTTATAACTCAAATGCATTACTTTTCACTTATTATAAAGGTCATATGTAAAATCGCATTTCTCCAACTTTCCAACTGATGTTATTCAGTAATAGTAATACTTCAACCAACTTTACTAATTATTTCCATATCTTTGATTACAGTAAATAAGAAAGAACAAAGGCCCAAGCACTAAATCACAGACCTGTGATACAGTGTGAGGTTACTACTACTAGTGATAGTAGTAGTAACAAAGGGTCATTAATTAGTCTTGATGACTTCTACCATCCAATGACTCAACAACCTTTTCTCAAGCCCTACTGACAAGATTTTATCAGCTTATCCTTTATGTGGCACTTTACGGTTTACCAAAAACTGAAGTTATTTGTAAATCTCATTCTTACCATTTCTAATACACCAAATCCACATATTTTCCTTCATCCAGGTATCAAGTTTTATTAACACTCTCGTACGTTATATTTATAAACATGCTTTTTCATATATGATTTATGCTTTAATAATTTTCACATCAAATCAAATGTTTAATATCGCAATTTTCATTACGACTCGAAAAGCTTGAAAGTTGAATTTTAATTTTTTATAGCTGCGGAATGTAAGCCATACGAATGTTAAAGTTCTGTATAATAATAATATATTACACTCCTGTGACTGTGTGGCATTAACAGAGCAAAAGCGCGATATTTGTCGTTAAAAATCAATTATATGTAAACAAATAAAATATCTCAATTTCAGTTTTACCTTGTCTTGTACTTGGTGGCTGGAAAGCCATGTTTTAAATTTAAAGGTATTATACTTTCCCTACTGTACCATTAGGTTTAGCTTAGATTGCTCTCGAATAACAAACATGCAGCGCTACTATCGATAAAACAAAATGTATATCTAACAGCACCTAGTTTAAAAAAAAGGAAAATTCACTTGTAAAATGAAGTATGCTGAAGTTTTTATTGCAAAACAATGGGTAAAGTCGAAAAGCTATCATCAAGGTTAAAAGGGTCTAGCTGTTGACATTAATTTTGGTTTAGACTTGTTCAAGAGTTTTTATGTTAGATATGGAGAATTTTTTACTTGTTCTTTTACCGAAGAAAGTCCTGGAAAATTTTGAGAATAAAGTTTCAGTCCCTAACATCTTGTAAAAGTTTCTCATAAAAATATTGGGCTTTAATCCAGGCGCGCAACCAGGATTTTTGTTTTAAGTAAGAAGTCCGCCCCTTTTATTCGACAAATTTATGTATTACAGTTGATAAACATCTTCCGTGTATGCACTTAGAATTGGGGTTTGATACTCATGGCGGCCACAGCGCATGTATCACTGGACAACAAAAAAATTGCTACCGGAGAAAACTCAAGTGGTCGGGATAATTTGATGGTGCTGACTTCAAAAATTTAGTCAGAATTCTTCCATCAATTCTATAATTTGAATTAATGTAATATCTCAATATTTTATCAGGACTATGTGAAACACCGTGCAATCAACTCAGTACAATAGATTTATGCTGTGAAATTAAGTTTACTTTGACAGTTTAATGGGTAAAAGGCATATATATTTGATAACTTCAAACATTGACTGTATTGTACTGGTGTAAAATTCCAAATATATTATTCATATATGCTATTTGTTCTCGACATATCTGTAGCGAATTGCACCGCTTTTGCTTCATTCCCACGCTCACCTGCTCTGCCCAGTCCTTCACCACTGAGGTTTGGTTTGGTTTTGAATTTCGCGCAAAGCTATACGAAGGCTATCTGCGTTAGCCGTCCCTAATTTAGCAGTGAAAGACTAGAAGGAAGGCAGCTAGTCATTACCACCCACCGCCAACTCTTGGGCCACTCTTTTACTAACGAATAGTGGGATTGAGCGTCACAATATAACGCTCTTACGGCTGAAAGGGCGAGCATATTTGGTGGGATGGGGATTCGAACCCGCGACCCTCAGATTGATCATCACTAAAGAGATTCACCAAGCTCTAGAAAAATATATGCACTCCAAAATTTACGCAGTCCACCGAATCACGTCAAGAAAAGCAGGAAAGCCTGCACATTTTATGAACGTTATTATTACTTCCAAACAAACAGCAGAACTCATTCTTTCTCACGGTTACTCAATTGATTTCTACCACTTCAAAGCAGAAAAACCGTACCGTAAACATCGAACGCCTCCAGCCTAAACCAGTAGATCTCCCATGTATCCTGCATGCCAGCTCCACACAACACCCTCAACCAATCAGGAAACACAAGCCCACAGTATGAAAAAAAAAAATAACAGTAGAAGACCAACAAACTCAGACAACACCTGATAAAAAGAATAAATCTCAAGACAAGTCAATCCAAACATCGCTTGCACAAAAGAAAAAAAGCCACCCAGACCCAGCCGCTATCGGAAGACCACATTAAACTGATAACCAACGACAACACTCAACAAACAAACCCTTTCAATGTCTACGTCTTTTACTGTCTCTAAGTCAGAACCACCCGCCGACCACTCGTCATCTAACTCACCAAATGCTCTACTTATAGACCTGACGAGCTTTACACACAGTCCTCTTTCTTCCTTCGCCCCTCAATCAGTGACGACGAAGATCCATTCTTAAACAGACCATTCCCCCATCCAAAACTCCCTCCTCAGAGCAATCCATAACATGAGGAATACTATGCCACATTAACCTACAGTCACGCTTTTCACTCTTTCCTCCTCCACCACCAAGCCGTTATTTTTTTAATATCTTCCATGTTTAATTGGGCACTGGTTAGATAGACTATTGAGCACCTTACCAGTGAAAGTGAGTTTTTTCGGGGTACTCCCGTTTCCTCCCCCACACTAAAATCTAGGTATTGGATTTTTATATTCTCCATCTCCCGGATAGACCATAAGTCTGATATCTACCGTTTGTTGGCGCATACAACCAGCCATATACAAAGAAACTACAAGAAGCCTTAAAATAATAAATTCAAGATCTTCTTCTAACACAACCTCGAGCGGGCGAAGGGGAACAGCACAGACCTCTACATACGCCCATGAATCTAAACAAAATATCAAAATACTAAAAAACCTTATAGACATAGCTTTAAGACTTTGTTCATCAGACTATATAGATTAAAAAATCAACTCTATAAAGCATTCCTTTATTCACACCAACAAATTTCCACTAACAATAGTCGAAAATTTTCCACACAGCCACTAAGAACGAAAATCTCAAACTCACAAACAAAATTGACACCAATACACCAAAAAATATCACATTACAATACAGTTTACCAATTTTCCCTGAAATCAGTTAAAAAATAATGAACACTTGGAGAAAACTTTCCATTAAACCTAAAATTTCTGTTGACTTTAAATTCACCCATAAACCCGGCCCTAAACTAAAATCATTATCAAATAAAAATTACATAGAATCACACAATATCAACGACATTTATAAAATAGCATGCAATAACTGTCCAGAATTCTACATCGGAGAAACCGGACGAAAATTCGAAATCAGATTAACCGAACATAATAAAAACCCTTTCAAGTTTACCACCATTGCAACTACAAAACAGCACAGTATATCTATACAAAACACTGTAATTTTAACCAAAGAACCAAACATCAATAAACTCAGAATAAAGGAAGATATTTTAATTGAACAAAACAGCCCCACCTTAATTAAACCAACACCCCGGGGTACCAATATACCTATACTAGGCTGTGAAAGAATCTCCGGTCATGTGACCTATTTATTCCATACTGTATATATATTAATGTATCTCTGTAAACTATTTGTTCCTAAGGATGACATAATCTTGTCGAAACGTCGTACATTTATAAAACGTTGTTTTCATTACCCAGTCAAGCCATCTTCAAACCTTTATTCTCAGTTGATCGCTTCGCCTAGCTCCACGCATAGTCAAAACAAAGTCCAATCTTCTTCCTCGCATCATACCCGCGATATAATCAAATTCTGCAAACTTTGTTTTTTTAAATCTTTTAAACTCTAGTTCTGTAAATATAAGTAAGCATTATTGCTTATTTCAGAGAAAAGCCACATTGGACTATCTTCTGTGTCTACAGCGGGGAATCGAACTCAGGATTTTAGCGTTGTAAAACCATAGTCTTGCCGCTCTCCACTGAGAGACAAAACAAAATTAAAAGATGTCCTTACAAATGCACTTGAGCATGTATTTTGTCTTCTAACTCTCCATGAAATAGTTGTTGTTTACGGAGAAATTCGACTTATGTTGTTATTCTTTCATCAGCAAATAAACCAAGAAATGACCACATAACATAAAAAACACACAATAATCAGTTTCAACCCAAAGACGCAGTTATACAATGAAAATAAACAACATTCAACAAACTGAATACAAACAAAATGCATGAAAATATCAAAAACATGGACAATTTTACCATTATAAAAACAAGTAAATAAGCTTTTAAAACTTCCCAGAAGCGGTTATAAACTGCTGGTTTCTTAATTTTATCGAGACGTCAGATCCCTGTATGATAAGTACTAAAATTCATTTCGTAGGAGTTTTCCAGGTTTTCCCCTCTGAAACAACTACCTTATACCACATTATTTATTGCCTATATTCTAAGTAATTATGAACGTTCTGCAGTGGTTAGTGTGTGTGTGTGTGTGTGTTTGTTGTTGTTTTTACTTATAGCAAAGCCACATGGGGCTATCTGCTGTGTCCAACGAGGGGAATCGAATCCCTGATTTTAGCGTTGTAAGTCCGAACACCTGGGGACTCAATGGCATGACTGGCGCTTTAAATATTAGTTAGAATATTTTGATTATATAAACTAGCAGAAACTCCGCCCTACGGATGGCTGTTTGTGCTAGTAATTACTAATCGTAGTATTCATACCTCATTGAAAACAATTTAGAAAAAATTGAACACTTAAAAAAAAAAGAGTTTTTCTGGAAAGTACTGCACGGGAAAAGTGTTTAGATTGTGCTGATATAAACTGTAATGTTTTTATATATTAAAAGTGGTACCCTTTATTGAATTTTTTTAAGAACTTCATTTATTAGTACTATATTTACTAATTACATCAATAAAGATATTTTTTACGACAGCGGAGGTCACGAGACGTTAGTAACACGACATATTCTCGAAGGTTCGTGAATGATCGAGTGTTTACTAGATATGCGATATTCATGTATATAAGACCGCCAAGAAGTGACGGCAACAAGGTAGTTGAATAGCGAACAGAGAAATTGAAGATATAGACGGATAACTGAGTCAAGCGCGATAGTAAGTGAAGTGTGTGAATCGTTCGTTGAGAATTATAGCATGTGTTTAAGTGACTGTGGAAATTAAGTGTATTGCAAAGTTGTATTGAGAAAGAATAAACCAGTTTTATTTAAGAAAGGACTTGTATCGCTGATATTTCTCGGGAAGAATTTTTAAGGGAAATTAACAAACGAACAGAGACGTAACAATATAATCAAACCCTCACGTACAGTCCTAATGAAAGTCGTGTTTTTTGTTGTGAGGAGATTACGTTTACTTAATGCAGATACCGAAGTTACTTTTCTAACTGTCTGGATCTTGAACACCCAAAGTGTGAATTTTTATTTTCGATTTTCGTTTGTGGTGCAGTTCAATAGTTGGCACCACATTGTATTTATTATTTCGGACACGAATATAGATAGATACACATATATACACGTTACGTCTATTATAGTAAGATGTGTCAATACAAGCATGAAACAATGTACATTGGGGAAAATAATGTAAGATAATGCACTAAAATCAAAACTTACCATTCAGCAAAGCTAACCACTGCTCTCGTGAAGGGATGAAACCGTGAAATTGATTTGCTAGGACTCGATGAATAAATATAGAATACTCTGACACTGCAGGCCATTTGCATATGTAACTGTCCACTCGAAGAC